TCGACTCCTCTCATCCTGCCTCCACAGTCGAATGGAAGCGGACAGATTGGCAGAGGGTGGTGAACCGAGATCACGCCCTGGCAAGCCGTCCACTTCATACATGGCTGCCGGGCTTGTGTCCCCACCATCATCCGTGCCGGCGCCACACCGTCACATGGGTCAACCGCAAGAACTTCACCACGTACACTGTGCCCATCGCTTGTCTGGCATGACCGGTGAAAATGTTCCCACCCTGCCAACCAGTCAATCTCGACCAATTGCCCATTCCCGTCGACATATTCACACACGTCCCGAGTTGAGCGGTGTTTCATCTGCACCGCCCACAGGAGTACCATCTGGTGCGGCTTCTATCACCTCATCCCGGCACACAGATGTGGCGGACCGGACAAAACGCGCTGCTCAAGGCCCCCCTACTAGTTCGACCAAGTCGGACACGATTGGAGATCGTGCAAGAAAAGGAGCGACCGAGCAGGATGATGGACGGGAAATGGAAATACCATATCCAGTCTCTGAGCTCTATGTCTCTCCGTCAAGAAACATGCAACCAGATGATATCCGCATCGGTAAGCACTGGTTAATATGAGCCATGCGTGTTGATACTAGTTTCCATGTGGGTGCTGAATCGTTTCAAAGCAGTTCTTGACCTAAACAAAATACTCCACAGTAACATCTATGTTAAACTAATTGAAACAAAACGGTTAACGTGCTATAGTAAACAGCAAAGTCAGAAAACAATATCACATGTATGTATTGTTACAATATTTAGAAGACCCTATAAACTAACATAAGTGGTTCTGTTTTGGGGTACAAAGGTGAGATTATACTGATGCGCAATGGTCACTGAACGATTACCTCCAGTAAACCAAGTGTGAGACCAACAAGGATGGGTGCACTTACACAAAACGTCATTTTACTTTCTTAGGGAGCATAAATCAAACGGGTAGTTGTCATAAACTTCAGTGGCAATCAATCAATCAATAAACACGGGACCTGGTTTGTTAGCTAATTTCAACTTACTTATCTAACAGGTCAATGCAAGTGTCAGTGGCTAAATTTGTTGCATCAATCATTTCCATGGCTGAATTCACAAAGTGAAACTGCTGAGTTCCTGCGTGTATGCATTTTTGTCTACATATAGTGTTGCACGTCGTGTCCGCCCCGCCCTCGTCCGGTCCACATAAATGAAAGACAGTGTAAATGCACAACAGAACGAATTGTGATCCACGTTTCTGTTCCAGAGATTTTATCAGAGACTACACATCTGTATGATCTGGATGTGTGTGTGTGATCACTTGAACAAGTCCCTGTTCAGCATAGTTCCAGCTCAGTGACTATAGTTTGTAGATTACTGCTCACATAGCAGTTTTGACGTTGTGCCGACAGTGACGGGTAAGCATCTAATATGTGATTCAGTGTTGATGTAGAACAAGTCCAGTTCATTGATCGGATTAACATTTCAGTGAATTCGGCACAGTTGACGAGTACTACCAGGCCAGGTCAGATTGCTACACTACAGCTCGCTTTCAAGTCATTTCCCCTGGTGGTGGTGGTGGTGGTGGTGGTGGTGGTGGTGGTGGGCGACAAGTTAACACTGTCCGGACAAACACATTTCTTTCGGGAATTTGCAAGTGCCCACAATACACGAGAGCCGTTGATTTCTATTGTGTATGTATTGAAGAATTCATCAATAAATCCTATGAATTTGGCATTTATCACTGCTTGTTTTCAGATTAAGATCCCAAACCAGTCCTGATAAAATATATAATCGCTTTCAACAGAAGTATGCAAATGATATGCCACCATTCTTTGATGTTATGTTTCGATCATTCCATTGGGTTTTCTCAAAAATCCGAGACCCGAAAATCCTCCACTGTTGCGTGTGGATTTTTCTCCTTACTTTTAGTCCGACTCAGGACTAGCACTCTTGACAAATCCCACAAAGAATCAAATGGCCGTGTCAGCTACTGTGCAACAGTTTCCATCTGTCTGTCATCTGTTTACAATTACTTGTCACATCTTCCAAGACTGTCGAGGCCCAAACGTTTTCTTGCGATTAACGAGTTGCCCCTTTTTACCAGTATTGTTGCGATGGTCTATTTTTGACTGAAAGCTTCCATATAACTCGATGATACTAAAATACAATGCAATACGAAATGATTTGCTAATCAGGGTGCGATGTTGTTCTGTTTGAATTTGAAACGAAGTGAAATTAAATGAAAAATTCAGACAGCGGATATTTGGACTTGCTCATTCGGTTTATCTCCGGCGCCGGACACTGTTGGTGATCTTAGATGTGGCTTTTCACCCATTTAGAGATCGCGCATTCCCCACGAAATCATCAACGGTGCCAGATACCCGTGAAAAATCAAAAGGGGCTACTCTAAACATTCGCCTTCTAGACTGATTGAGCCATTCGATTGATTTGATTGGTTCTTGATTAAAATTTTGAATGTATTGTCACGATTATTACTCTAGGATGATCCATATAGATTCTCATCGGTCTGGATTATATCATTACTGTACCTCATGTGCACCTGAGTGTAGTAACCGCGCAAGATATAAATCGGTACGGGATTCACCAAACTGTGTGCAAAACAAATCATGGTGCAATGATCTTTGTAACATGATTTGCTCGCGGACAGATTGATCAGGCCAAAACAAGTGAATATTCTTGGGGAACTCACAACCATAGACTTGAATTACCCAAAGTCTGACCCACAGGGTATCGGGGCGGTTTTTTAAAACCGCAATTCATTGGGTGCCCGTGAACATTTTTAGGACAGGGTCAAAAGTACACGGTGTTCGATCGACCTCGATTCAAATTCAGGTCGATGACCACACAAGATGTGTGCGTGCACGTCTGTGTGGTTTCACGCCCCTACCTTTGTTGGTTGGAACTTCCGACGGAAACTCGCTGATAAGTGAAGTTATGAACAATGCTTGTCCGTCTCACTGAAACCGTCGACTCCAATCCATGGCTAATCAAAAGTACTCAGATCTGCAATTAATTATGGCAATCTATGAATGAAACCAGAAGAAATAGAGCACATTATTAGAAACTCTTCATTAGAATGGTACTAACCGAACATTCAAGCCCCGAAGTATACATATATATATATATATATATATATATATATATATATTTCACACACCTATGAAACCAGACTATATGCCAAACTAATCATGGTACAATGATCCTCATGAAAAAGCAAAACCTTCCATGTTTTGCATGTGGGCGCAATACTGCCAGGTTGCCCGGGCCAAGGCAGGTGAACTTTCTTGAGGAATCCACAACCGGAGCCTTCGGTTAGCCAAAGCCTGACCCGCAAAGCAGCGGAGCAGTGTGTGAAAACCGCAATCCATTGGGGGACCGGTGTCCAGTTCATCATACGCCCTTCGAACGGGGTCACACGTTCAAGGTGCCCAATGCACCTCGATGCCCATTTTAGCCGGGAAGGTGTGGGTGTGATTCGCACGCCTCTTCTCGGTTGGTTTGGAATCAGGGTTTTTGGCCAACTCCCTTAGGTGAACTCCCATTGGTCCACCAACTCGGTTGAAGCCGCGGATGTCGGCTTTTTCCCTCTCACTTTGATGAGAAAACATCTCCACAAGAAAATAATGAGTAGGGTCTCCTCAGCAGAGGCTATTTGAGACGCTTGGTCGTATGGGAGCATTTTGCGAGATGCAAGGAGAGAGTGACTAGCCGCAACCCTAAACACGCACTCCCGACCATATTGAGGCTTTTGGAGGCAGTGCAAAGTTTAGACGGACTTCATTTTTCGTGGATTTCATTATCCAATCATCACAAAAATACACGTTTGATCAGGTATCTCAGACAAAGAGAGAGAAGAAGAGGAATGGATAAAGTTAACCTACGGAAAGCCCACTCATTTAAAACGGGTCTCGGTAATTGTTTCTTTATGCTATCGACAAGAGAATTCCCCGAGATATTATCAGTTCAGGAAACTTCTTGTTTCACGATCCGAAGAATGTTCTATTTTGGAAATCCATATTTTTCTGTATTTACCCGGGATCGCTTTACCCACCCGGGTGATCCAGTTGTTCATGAACACACTGCTGTTGTTCGTTTGCAATTCAATCTGGCGAAATTGGTTCAACTGGTAAAGCGTGATTGTAAGCCACTCCCCCTCCCCTCCTGGGTTGTCTGTGAATTTGGTGAACGAGGTTTTGCAAGATGGGCATAGCGCATGTGCCTGACCGGCTGATTGCACTGTCGGGATCTATGCGAAGAATTCAGGTGTGTCTATCCGTCTTAGCGAAACTTGATTACAAAAACGGGCACATTTCGGACACAAAACCGACTTGAGCGGTGGAGAATATCGCTCAGCATTCATCAGGTACTACCACGGTTGTGGCTTCAATAGACCATGTACAATAGAAAGTTGATACCATCACACAGCTGTGTACCGATTTAATCCAATCGGGTTTGATTAGTAGCATCTAGCAACATCGAAATTTTCTTCAGTGCAGTGACTTTGGCACATTGGAAGTCAACACTGTTGGAATTTTCCTATGCCAAAATCAAGTGATTGAGGATATGCACAAAAATACAATTGACCTTGTAGCGTTTAATCGACCTCAGCGCCGTGACTGTAGATTCTGTTTCAGTCGTCTGTTTTGATCCTAACAACTAGGCTGCACGCAGGCTTGACGCTGTTCCCACGGCTCCAGCTTACCTTGGATGGTGTTCTTTGATGCGTTTGACGCTGGTGGTTGTGGTTTTGGTGATTTTAACTGTATGAGGATGTAGAGTGATTCACGAAGTAGGTATACATCACTTGGACTGTGGTCTGTAAGAGTTCTTTTCATCGAATTTGTTTAATCGTCACGATGAGCTCTTTTGTAGATTGTAATACCTGTACACTTTTCACCCGGTATTTCCGTTTCCCGGCTTTGAGAATCTCTGCCATTTGAGGTTGCCTTATACTACCTTGTTTCAAATGATATTTTGCCCGGAACACCATAGCAAGGTCAGTCTTAGCCGCTTGTTCCCTATGCACAGCATTCATATACCAAAAGCATAAGGTTGTAGTGAATGGATACGGTACGCCAGCCACATTTATAGAATGAGTCGAAAAATAAATCCGAATAAAACAAAGTTAACCACAGCCAAACCAACTCCCGCCGTGGCTCAAATGTATATCAGTAGAAGGAACTATGGTGAACCAATGCGATTTGGATATACTTTTGAGCTTATCCAATCATGCTTCGCTTGATCTGTACACAAACGTGTTATAACTTTCAAAAAAATAAAACAATCTGAATGCGTAATGGGATCGGAAGATTTGCATATTACGTATTTACTCCAAGGATTATCTGACAATCTTTTCTCGGACCGTATGAGAATAGTATGGAAAAAAAAACAGTCCGCGAAGCAGCCAGCCCGTGCCTTGACTGATGCGAACTTTGTTAACGAACAGCTTATCGCAATGGTTTAGTCCGTGCGAATCGATTTGTCCGTCTTTGTTCAGGTCCGAATAATAATGGATTTATGGGTGCTGGTTTGCCTAATCGGATCTGATTCGGACACTTGGGCGAGTTCGCTCTGGATCGATGGTAACGGGCATGGTACGCTTGTACCTCCGTATCTGTGTGTGTGTGTGTGTGTGTGGGTGGGTGGGTGTACATGCGCGTCCCCCTGCGCACATTTGCCTATCGGATTGTGTCACTGACGAGGGGGCAAGGGGTTGGAATGGGCTGCTTCACGTGTCAACTCCCATTTATCAATCTCGTTTAAGATGTCTTCAACAATAACCAATCAAAACGAATGACCGGCTTGTTTCACAATCCAATGTTAAACGCGTCTTGAAAGCACAAATGCACTGCTACTGCACTTCCACGAAACACAAATGTGAAATTCGCGGATTAGGTGGACTGTTGTACTTCACAGGTAATGCCAACTGAATTGTGCTTCTATATTTATTGTGAACTTTAGTCAACCAGGTCAGAATTTGGGCAATTTCTATAGGATAATTATTTCTGAACAGTAGGTGACCCAATCATAACTGCTTGGTGCTCCTCCTCTAGGGTTCTCGCTTTCACTGAAGCGCATAACAAATGCTCCGTGTTTAAAATTATAGTCACCCAGATAGATCGATATCTAAGTGAATAAATCAAACTTTTGGCCCTAATATTTTGCAGTTTTGACTAGCATTTACTTTGTCGGATGTTTTCAGGTTCTCGAACATCAAACATGCACAAAATTGTGGATCATCAACGGACAAATCTCCTTCAAATGTATGACCGAAACTTTTCCCACTTATTCTCTCCCTATTTGATCGATTGTACGCATGGCTGTACCAACTCAGTGAGTGATAAGGACTCCAGGGATTATACCCCAATTGACGATCTAGGTAGAATTCTTCGTACAAATTAGTGGGAATATTGAGGGGAGAATGGATAGGGAGAGGAAATTATTTAGTTCATCTGCGCATTCGCGGTCAAGTCATTTTTTTCCCTCCTCATACATAGTCTTTGTTTAGGCCCAGGAGCAAGAAATACGAGTATTATACAATGCACTAACCAGCAGTTTTTCTGACGCCTTAGTCAGTCACTGTTTTTATCATAGTGAAACCATGATTTGTACTTGAATCACAAAGACACATTCTCATCAGTATGTAATGTATCTGTATAAACAATGCAGAAGTATCCACCTAATCACAATTTACCATCCATATGGCTTCCTTCTTATCCACGAACTGAAGAAGTGCCTG